CTCACTTCCCTCATTGGCAGCATGGGTATAATCATATTCATGTGGAAAGGCAGAAAAGGAGAGCCAAGAGTGAATGAGAAAATGTACATGAAGCGGTGAGTGCAGCGACTGGGTGAGCGCCTATCGGCAAATATGGTTCCTCTCCTTCCCCTCCAGCACCTTCCCTGTCCAGGGGCAATCCCAGGGGACAGGAGATGGGAGGGGGGGAAAGGACAGGAGAGGGCAAAGGGGCTCAGACCTGCTCCCACACAGGGCCTTCTGGGAGCAGGGACAGTGTGAGTTCCCCTGGGGAAGAGGACAAGCTTGGGGGAGCCTGGTTCTGTGGAGGCCTGTCCCTGCTGCAGAGCCCACTACATGCTGTGTGTAGGAGCTTGCCACATCTACCTACGGGAAAGAGGCTATAGAGCTCCGGGTTGGGGCCACCTGCCATGCCCTTCCTGGTGTCCCCAGGAACCAAAAGGGCCATGGGCAGGTACATATGGCCACTGCCCAGCAGCTGGGGGTAGAGTGTGTGTGTGATTAGTGAAAATATGTTCATCTTCAGGTGCCAACCAGCTCATTCACTCAACAAGCACTCTGGAAGTACCTGGTGCAGAGCACTTCTGCACCCCGACCCTTCCGGCTCCCGCGCAGTCCCACAGTCACTGCTGTGAGCGGCAGTGGGTCCCTGCTCCCAGGTGGCACCTCATGCAGAGACTGAGGGGTGTGCCCAAATCTCCTGCTGTGTGGCTGCGCTAGGATTTTAACTGAGGTCTGTCTGTCCCCAAGGCACAGGGTGTTGGCGCCTCGCTTCAAAGTCTCTGCCTTTCAAGAGTCTGGCACCCTGAGAGGCTTATCAGAGCCTTATTGAAACTTGTGGTGCAGGGTAGGGAAGGCGGACAAAGTACAAGAAGGAAAAATGGGAGGAGGAATAGCCCGGGTGAAATTTCTGAGGTGGCAGTAGAGGAAGTTTGCAGATCAAGTGAAACAGCAAGATGTCCTATTTGGCTAGAGATGAAGGTATAGGACATGGCTAGGATTGGAAAGAGGAAGCTTCACACAGGTCCTAAGGGGCTCAAATGATGGGATGAAGGGTTTAGTATTGCCCTGCAGTGATGGAGTCCTGTGGCCATTTTACACTCCCATGTTACACACCCATGGACACTCCTTGGACTAGAAGTGGATGCCTGACCCAACTTGGGGCAATAAGCATCTATTTCCTCACAAATTAGAGTTTGCATTCTGGGGTGTGGGAGCTTGAATGGGGAAAAGGTGGGAATAGGGAGCGGGGGCAGCTTCACCTGGCCCTTGTGCATGAGGAGCCGGAGAAGAGCTCTCTGCAGAAAGGGGAGGATGAAGCAGACATGTAGAGAAGGCTGAAGAGGTTTCAGATGGCTCAGTGAAGCTGGACATGATAGAACGAGCCAGACCGTATTGCCAATTAGCCAAAGGTAGGATGCAGAAAATGAAAGTAGGATGAAAGAATGATGTTGAATCAGAAGTGACATTATGGTTTACATGGGACATAAAGTCCGTGTTGAGATGGGCCACAGAACTGGCTCTGGGCTTCCTGGTGGTCAACGGAAAGTGAAAAAACATAAACATTAAGACCCAGAATGCTTATCAAGGAAACACAAACCCATTGCTCAAGGGAAACAAAAGCATTGTTGATTCTGGAGCTGGGGAGAAATTTCTCTGGCAGACTGTCAAGTAGCTGGGTAGATCTTTGGTCAGGGAGTAGGTGAGTGGAGCTGCAGTCTGTTCCGGGAGTCAGGAGACTGGATTCTGTTCCCAACTTCTTCATGCGTGCCCTTGGGTAGTTGCTTAGGCTGAGACTTATTTTCCTGTAGTGTAACAGGCCGCTCGCTGTGGAGGGCTCTCAGGGACTGGCAGATGCGATGGAAGTACCAGGCCCCCAGTCGGTCAGTAAGGCTGGTCTCCCTCCTTCCCTCTGAAAGCACTCTCCCTTTAATTAAGTTTTTATTGCTTTCCTACCCTCTCCCTGCCATGAGCTGGCTCCTCCCAAGATCTACCCAGTGCCCCTGGGACCAGGGCACAGGCACATGGCAGCTGGCATGGCACCTCCTGGGATCATCAGGGTCCACACGTCTCCTGCTGGGTCTGCCTGCAGCGGAACAGAATGCAGAGCCTGGCTCCACCAGCCTGCATTCTGCCAGGGCCTCCTCTGTGCCTGGCCCTGGTAGGGCTGAGAACTCTGTGCTTTAGCCCAGCTCAGCCCCATCACCTGCTCCTTAGCACCCTGTCCATCTTCCCCACACAAACCCCAGGAGTAGGTAAATAATTGTCTGCACAAGAAGTTGTGCTCATATCCATTCCCCAGCTAGGACACATATGTCGTAGGCATGATGTATTTTGTCTCCACTGCTATGTTGGTGGTGGCTCTTGCTTGATGCTTGAAATATATTGGCTGAATGAGTGAATGAAACCTTGTGACGATCAGTCCCATGAGGCCAGGCTCACTATCTCTATTTGAAGGAATCTGAGTTTTCCTCTCATCTTCCGACTTCTTTACCAGGTCATTTTTTACTCATTGTTCAGGCCTCTGCCAACATGTTACTCCCCTAGGAAGGCCACAGCAAAGCTCTAGACTGCATCAGGACCCCCATCCCCCACCCCACCACTGCCACCTCTCCCAGGTTTGCTGAATCTCCTTGCCAGACACTATCTACTGGGATGCTTATTTGGTTTCATGACCCTCATAACTCCATCTGTTACATGATTTTCAGGGCCCTTTGCAAAATGAAGATGAAGGGCCTCTTGTTTAAAAATTATTGAAATGTCTAAGATGGGACTAGAACATTTAAGCCATGCTGGCCTTTGTAGTTGCAGGGTCCCTGGTGGCTACTGGCCCCATGACTAGTGTGACTAGTGAAGCAGCTCTTGGTCTGTGCCTCACAGACACTGCAGGGCTACTTTTCCGCTGCTGCCTCCTGCCCCAAGCCTGACACAGTGCCTGGTCCTCATTAGCATCTCTAAACATTGAAGAAGGAATGAACCAATGGATGAATGAAGTGGAAGCAGGTATATGAACAGAAGTTACAGAGCCTCTCTGAGCCTTAGTTTTCCCACCTGCAAAATGGGAATATCTTGCTTCTTTCCCAGGCAGGCAGCAAGGCTCCTCCAACCCTTGGGTCCATGGGGTCCTGGGGCACGTATCTTGAAACTAGTCAGGTACAGGGGATCAGAGGCCAGAGGCCAGCTCCACGTGGGGCAGAGTGAGGCTGGCCTGATAAGGCCATGGACTCTGCTCTCTTCAGGCAGCCAGCCCACTCTGATGACATACTCCTACCGAGCTGGAGCCCAGGGGTGGGGAGAGGCCATGGGACTTGCTTCTTTAGAAACCCTAGTATTGGGCACCTGCATTGGTCAGGCACTGCACCGCACACTTCATATGCATTGTCTTTTATCCTCTTTCTGCAGAAGGAGACATCAAAACTCAGAGAGTAAAAATGGCATGTCTAAAGCTACTCAGCTGGCCAGGCACAGTCAGTCATGGAAGGCAGATCTGTCACCTCCTAGACTGGTGCCTGTTGAGAACGAAGAGTACACAGCACAAGGGGGATTTGTTTGCAGAACCCTGCCTGAATGCTGAGCGTGCGCTTGTTCGAGCACACAGGGCCTGGGACAATATCCCGTGTTGTCCCAGACACTGTTGACCTTCCCTGAGGCCAAGCAGCAACCTCCCAGGCAGGCCTGCTCGCCCAGGGGCTGGAGGCAGCTTCCTGACTGGCCTTGGTTAATGCCCCCATCAGGCGCACCCGGCGGTGTGAGAGTCGGTGAGACAAACCTTGCACGTTTTCCTGGGGTACCATTTTTACACAAAAGTTTGATTATTTATTCTTTGCCTATTTTTATGATTAGAGAAATACTACTTTTTAATCTTAAAACTGTACTAAGACTTTTGGTATAAGCTTGTTTTAGAAGATTAAGGAAATGCCCAATGTGAACAGGAAAGAAAGGGCCAGAGACCCTGAAACCCTTCTTTCCTACTGTAAAACCATCATGAACTTATATACTGCTCCCCACACAAACACCAGACACACACACACACACACACACACACACACACACACACACACACACACACACATTTTCACTCCCCTCTCAAAGACTCCAGAGGCTCATTACCCACTTTGAAAACTGGGGTTTGACTACGTTTCCCTGGAGGTTACAATGTGCAGTGTAACCTGGGCCTAACTAGGGGGCTAGATGCAGACTCCCTAGAGTCTTACATCTGTCCACTTCTATCTGGTGCCTTGAAAGGATTTGTATTTCCGAAACTTGGCAAGATGGACCCTTTTTTTAAAGAACAAAAATGGGTCCAACTTATGCCCAGTGTCATGAAACGCACTTTATCTTTTGCCTAAAAATATGTTTTGGACATCTTGTCTGTACAAAGTCTGACCTCATGGTTTTAACAGTTGCCTGGTGTTCCATAGCCTGAAACATTGTTCCTTATAATAAGGCATCAGTGGACAGCTTCTGGAACAGAACACGCAGAATGGGAGGCTTCAGAGAAATTTCCTACTGGGGGCAGCTCGCTGTAGTCAGGCTCTCAGACCCCTAGCTGGCTTTGGCCTTCAGTGGAACTTGGGTGGGAGGCTCCAGGCCTGTGAGAAAGAGTCTGTGGCTTGGTCCTCCACGCAGGGAGGCACACTGACCTCCACTTCCTACACACCGATTTCCACCTCCTGCAAACGCATTCACATACTTCTTCCCCCCATCCCCACAACCTGACCTTCACATCCTGAGGATGTGGAACAGGTGTGCAGAAGCTCCGATAGGGCCCTTACTGGACGCCCAGTGCTGTCATAGCAACTTCACGGGTCATTGCGTGTGGTCCTCAGAATGCTTTGTAGGTGGGGAAACCTTGAGGCTCAGAGAGGGAGCACTGTCCCCACAGCCATGCAGTGGGTCGGTGACAGAGCCTGATGGATGACTTGCTGAACCTTTCAGAGCTGGGAGGAGTTACCCAAACCTGGCCAGATGTGGGGCCTAGGCACCTGAGCTGGGATGTTCCTGAACATGGAGACTGAAGCATGTCCACAGCCACGCCGGCTCCCTCCAGCCTCTTCTAGCGCCCAGAGCCCCAGGAGATGCAGAAGGTAGACACTCATTAATGTGATTCAACCGCAACAAATTTAGAGGCAGGAGGGCCTTTCCCCCTCCTGTGAGGCAGAATAATGGCCTCCCAACCATGTTTGTGTCCTAATCCTAGGATCCTCTGAATATGTTATCTTAATGTGGCCAAAAGGACTTTACAGCAGATTAGAGTTAATGACCCTGAGATGGGGAGATTATCCTGGATTATCTGGGTGGGGCAACCGTCATCACAAGGGCTCCTAAAGGTGGTGAGCCTCTCCTAGCCATAGGGAGGAGAGATGTGAGTGGGAAGGGGGCTAGAGAGACACAACACTGGGGCCCTGGAAGAAGGAGGAACGGGTGTGAACTGAGGAAGTCAGGGACCTCCAGGAGCCGGGAAGGGAAGGGAACAGATTCGCTTCTAGAATGCCCTACTGACGCCTTGATTTTAGCCCAGCAAGAACTGTGTGGAACCTCCAATCTGTAGAAATGTAGTTAAAACTAACATGGACTGGCCATTCATCCAGGGAGACCCATTTGTCCATCCTCAGGATAATTCTTGGTTGTAGCTTTCTCTCTCTCTCTCTCTCACACACACACACACACACACACACACATGAACACACCATCAATGCTACTTGGATTCAGTTCTTTTGGATCCCAGGATGGTTCTAAGTAATCATAATAGTCGTGGTAACACTAATACAACAGTATTGATACTAGTGGTAGTAATAATAGCAAACACTTAAATCATGCCCATCATGTATATACTCTGCTAAATGCTTTTTATTTATGAATTCCTGCATTCCTCATGACAACCCCAGGAGAAACTCCTTAGCTTGCAGGAGGCAAAGCAAGACACAGAGAGATTAAATAACTTGCCCAGAGTTACACAGCTAAAATGAGGTGGATTTGAACCCAGGCCATGTGGCTCACATTTATTTGCTCACACATTTACAGACACACACGCATCCCCTCACATTCACAAGTAAAATCACACACACACTTCACACTGCTCTGACCAGCCTTCCTTCCTCAGCTCCTGTCACTGGCCAAAAGGGGAGTCTGGGAACCTGTTTCCAAAAGGGAGTTTCACTCCAGAAGGGATTTTCAGGGATGGTTCATATCAAAGCTTCAAATAATTCATAAGAAACAAAGTTGCCAATTCCCCCCACCCCCCTGAATTTCACATCTCCTTTTATGAAACTTCACTCATTTCAGCCAGATGATTGGTTCAGTGTGTAATTAAATGTGAGTCAGTGTGTCTGGCTTGGCAGAACTCTCCAGGCTTGTCAGCTCTCAGAAGAGGCCGCATCCTTGGTTGGCATGTTCCTGGACTGCAAGGTCTGGAAACACTGTCCCTGTATCCAGGGCCTCCTCCCCTGCCTCACCCCCCCACCCCCCCACCGGGCCGCTGAGCTGGGCTGGCTGGGCAGGCCGGGGGACTGCAGGGATAATTGGTGTTTTCTGGCAGCCAGCAGCTAGGGGCTTGCTGCCCCACTTCTTACCTGCCTCTGGGGCAGGGCTGGGTCCTCTGGAACCTGTCTGGCTGGTTTGGAGGCTGTTATTACTGGGAAGGGATGGAGACCTGGAGGTGGGTGGGAATGCGGGAAGAGGGGGAAGGGAAGCAGTGGGGAGAGGTGGGCTGGGGCTGGGATAAAGAGGAGGGGGCTGAGGAGAGGGTGGAGAGGGGAGGGTGGGAGGGGAGCAGAATGACGCCAGCAGAAGGGGTGGGCTGGGTGCTCCCTTGCTCGCCCCTGGCTTAGCTTGCAGTTTCCCCATTTCTGCCCCTCAGCAATGACTTCAAGTCACAGAAAAACCAAAGCTCAGCACAGGGCCTGGCATATAAGGAGGAGGGCAAACCACTGTGAGAATTTCCCCCAAATGCCAGGGAGCCCACCAGGCGGGGGTCAGGCCTGGTTCGGCTTCCTGAGGCTCCCTACTCAGTCCAGGGTGGGGGTTGGGGGCTCTAACTGAGGCTTAGGTGCCTTGGGAGGAGGGGCCAAACAGGACATGGGACCCACTCACTGGGGCCCCTGAGAATGATTGGGGCCATCTACACAGCAGGGTTACTGTGCAACCTGGCTGAATGCAGTCACCCTTCCTGTTCCCAGCTCTTTGGGCCTAATTACCCAAATAATTAAGGGCCAAATTGTTTTCTACTATCCATCTCTGGTGTGCAGTCCCATTATCAACCCCTAACCACCTTCTTCTGACCCACTGAATTATTTTTCCTCCTTTCCTCCTTCCAGCAAGCACCATGACAAAGCCAGAGGACATTCAGACCCTCCTAGAACTCACAGTCCAGGGGACAGAGGTGAGAGGCAGACCCAGGTCAGTCTGTCAAAACCCCATGTGTAATCCTCTAGGGACCTTCCTCCATCAGGAAGAGTGTTCCAGGCTGAGGGAACAGCATGCCCAACGGCACAGAGGATGACATGGGAGTTCGAAGAGTTGTCAGTGGTTCTGGATGGAGTGTGCTGATGTCACGTGGGAGAGCGGTTGGGAGTGGACATTATAGGGTTCGGCAAAGGCCAAGGTAGGATGGCCTTGAGAGTGAGGCCTTCTCCAGGTAGTAGGGAGGCATTGAAGAACTTAATCTGGAAAGCAGCAGGGGCCTGGTGCTTGGAGCCAGCCAGGCAGGTTTGAATCCTGACCTGGCCACTCACTGCTGTGTGACCCTGAGCAAGTCTCTTAACCCACACAGCTCCCTAATGGGGTGACGATAGTGCTTTGTGGAGTTGTTATGGGCATTGAAATAAGTATAGTGTTTAGCACAGAGCCTGGTTCACGTTAAAGCTGAAAATTATTCATGCATTCTTTCAGAAGGCTAATAGCTAGGACTGGTATGAGAGCTTGTTAGGAAGCCCCAACAGAGTGATTCTGATTTCCAAAGAAACACCCTGAGGCCGCAGGAGGCTGAAGTAGGGGGATTCCCGCAGCCCAGGGTGAGCGCGGGCCTGGCTGGCTCTGGGAGGCTGGGCTGTGGCCAGTTGCGCCCCCCATGCCCACTGTCCTTGCCCAGGAGCTGCTGAGTGATGGGGGTGGGGCTAGGGAGGGAAGATGGAGATCAGAGATGCCAAAGGTCACCCACAGGCGCCCCAGCTCCTCCCCGGGAGACAGATCCAGGAGGCTGAGGGTGAGGGCAGAGGGCAGAGGGTGGCCTGAGCATCTCTCCCTCTGCAGTGCTGGGGGGAGGTTAGAGCTGGGGCTTGAGGGCGGCTGGATTTTCCTGCTGTGTCTCTGTGTGGACAAAGTTGGCCTTGGTCTGAGTCCCCTGGCAACTGATCTGTCGGCAGAAGGCATAAAACTCCCTCAAGGAGGAGTGTCATGGTCTGGGGGATGCCTTCTGGGAGGGTCTTGCATGTACCGTGAGAATACTCCCCTGACCCACTGGGTGGCCTCCAAGGGCCGCACCCCAAAGAATGACTTTGCTTAGAGGCACAAAGATCACAGCCCTGGGGCATCTTTGCCTAAAGCCGGCCTCTCCTGCAGCACAGAGAACCCTGCCTACAACCCTTACAGGGGCCCAGGGAAATGTTTTAATTTTTGTAAAGTCAAAAGAAAAAAAGTGAAGATAATCCAGTTTAGGGTATATTTTTCTGTATATTAACAGCCATAAATTATCATTTTAAATACATTTTTATGGAGGAAGGGGTCTATTAAAGCAGAAGTTCCTGGGTCCCATGAAAGGCATGCAGTACCTTGGTCTTTGCACTTCCTTCACCTGCAGGACAAAGTCCCAAGAGACAGAGAATTTAGGGGCTAGACTCACTGAAGTGGGCTTAAGCCCTGATTTTAGCGCTTGCCAGCTTTGTGACCCTGGCTAAGCCACTGAACCTCTCTAAGGCTTAGTTTCCTCATCTGTGAAACGAGATAATGCATGAATGAAAGGCCTTTAGTACGGTTATCTCTGAGCACATAAAAAGCACCCAACATATCAAAGCTATCAAAAAATAAAATCGATCAGCTGGCATTCAAGATCATTTACTCAATATATAATTGCTGAGCACCGGCTACGGCTCAGGATCTGTGCTGGGCACTCTGACCATTGGGCTCCTGCCTGTTCTGTGGCCTCTGCAGACCCAGGTCCCCACTCTGCCCATGTCTGTGTGTCTGTCACCCTACTCCCCACTGCTGGCTTGCAGAGAGCCATATGGTTGCCGCCTGAACCTTTTTTTCCTTCCTTCCCTTCCACTCCCTTATTTGCCATCAGATCCTTGAAATTCTCTTCCTGGTCTGGCCATACCAGTGGGTCCCTCTGGACATGAGACCCCCAGCTCCCCCTCCTCCACGGAGCCACATCCACATTCAACTCTGGAATTGTTTGCTTTAACTTTTCCCCGACAATCTGCAGAAATGTGGGTCAGGTGACCTCCTGTTTGAAATGTTGACAACTGCAACTTCTAATAAAATAAAAGCCTGTTTTCTATCTTATCCCTGCCAAAGACATCATGAATGATTGATTGATTGATTTAAAGAAATTAAAACATGTCACATATTTTATAAGCAACTTAACAGCCTGAACTGGAGTCTGGGTACCTGACATAAAGATTTCAGTTTTAAATATCGAAATCAATATAAAGAATGAAAAGATGAATAATGAGCCAAAATAATTTCTTTTCTCTTACAAGAAACTGAAAATTTCTGGAGCCCCAGATTTTCCATGGTGATATCCATGGTTTAAATTAGGAGGATAACACATGAACTAAGTATAAAAAGGACCACTGATGCAGTCAAAGACACTAGGCCTATTATGTTGAAAAACGCTTACCCCATTCCCACCTGCTCTCAGGCATTTGGAACCCTCTGGACTATGGCCCATCCCTCCAGCCTCCTTTTCCCAACTGTCCTTTCACACTTGCTCCACCCAATGAACCCCATACTCTGACTCCTTCTTCCTCTGTATGCTCTTACCTCTGCCTAAGATGCCCTCTCCCTCTCATCTTCTTGAATGTAAGTCCCACGAAGGCAGAAATCATGTCTCCTTCATTGATAGATCCAAAGCTCCTAGAAGGGTGCCAGGCACACAATAGGTGCTCATTAAATATTTGTGGAATGAGTGGTCAGCCTAGAAAACCCCTATCTATATGACAAAACTTTAATCAAATGTTCTTGCTCTCTGTGCTACTCCTGCCCCTGCTGGCAGTGCTCCCACACTACTTTGTGTTGGGCTTTTGAAGGAAGCTGACCTGGGTTCTAATCTTGCCTCTGACATGTCATTCTTTTATCACTCACTCACTCAGCAGAGATTTACTGGGCATCTGCTTCTTATGTGCCAGTACTTGGAACTGAATGGTGAGCAAAGGCAGACTGGTGCCTGCTTTGCTTGGAACTTCCCACAGGCATGCCCATCAGCCTCCCCGAGCCTCAGTTTCCTCAGCTGTGATGTGGGTAGTACCCCCTTCCTCAGGGCATTATGGGGCAGATTCGATTAGATGGCACAGCAACTCCCTCCATGAGTGGGCAGGCACTTGTGGATTTTGCCCTGGCCCCTTACCAGGCTTTGAGCTCCTGGGCAGGGGAGGGTTTACTTTCTCTTTCCTTGGGTGCAGCAGAGAAGGCAGCAGTAGACATTGGCTGGTACTCTGGGTGGCTGAGTTGTAATTTGTACGTGACTCTGTGGCTCTCTGACGCACACACACAGAGACACACACACACATGCATGGTCACATCTGGCCTGGCCTGACCTCATAGGCTCTTCCAAGGTCCAGAACTGTGCCCCACCGCTGAGTGGCTCAGTGCTATGATAAGCAAGAGTGCCAGGAACCCAGGATTCCCCAGTCTGGGAGGGTGTGGGCTTGCCCCCAGGCAGGGCATGCCCAATCTCTGACCTGAGGTGGCTGAGGCCCAAAACATGGTATACTTTCACCCAATTTCTCAGAGTCTGTGGGGGCAGTGATGGTGCAGATTATAGCACCACACCTCTCCTCCCCCTAATCCCATGCCTCTGTCCTGTCATTCACACTCCAGTGCCAGACATGTGACCAGATAGCCATCAGCCGGCCCCCTTGAGCAAACAGCAGGGCATGTGAGCAGTGTCTGGCCTCAGGTCTGGACACAGCCAGCTGGTCACTCGGGACTTCTAACCCCATTCTACAGGGTGAGGGTAGACAGAGCATTTGGAAGCCTGGGTTCCAGCCCCAATCCCAAGATCTGGTGCCTGTCCCTTCTTGTCTCTAAGCCTCTGTTCCCCTGTCTGTACTAGGGTCTGCTTGGCTGGACAGAGAGGCAAGGCTTGGAGCCTTTGGGGCCCCTTTATTTTTTCATCAAGTTCTTGGGTTTGGGTGGGCTTTTCAGATTCGGATTCTGCACCCATTCTTGTGCACCTGCCATGTGCCAGCCGGAGTCATGTCTGGAATTACCTCCAAACTCATTTCATTCTGAGTTTCCACCTGCCATACCTGCTGTCCCCCTCCAGTCCCTCCAGGACTTCTCATACACCTGGGGACCTCCTGGGTTATAGGCCCCTTACCCCAGAAAGTAGAGTCTGAGAGGGAGTGGGAAACTCCATTCTGAAACAGAACAGTGAGTCTCATATCTAGGAGATGGGGCGTCACAATCCTGATCTCTGGAAGGGCAGTTGAGAGGGCAAGGTGGAATTAAAAATGTGCATATTATATAATTGTATTTGAAATGTGCACATTGTATAATTGTATTTGAAATCGTGACATAATTTCATATCAGGAATGTTATTTTAAAACTACAAACCTCAGAAAATTATGAGCGTTAAAACTTGTTTTGCTATTTGAGACCTTGCAGAAGATATTTGAAAGGGATGATGGCGCTCAGTGAAGCTGCCTCATTACGATGCTGGGGATTTTTAGGTCAAACATGGTAACATATGACTTCGTATGGTGCATCTTAAAATTTGGGGGTTATCAGCGGAGAATTACTGGAGTGTTGTGAAGAGGGAAGGCATGCAATGGCTGGAGAAGGGGGAGGAGGACAAAGAAATGGAGAAAGGACAGTCAGAGAGGTGAGACAGCCCAGGGGCTCTGAGGAGGAGGGTGGGTAGTGGCCCAGCAGGTTGGGCAGGGGGCTGGGCAGTGCAGCCCGGTCCTGCCTCTCCCCTCACTGTCCACCTCAGGGCCTTGACTCCTGCCATGATGGCCATCTGCTGGGCCCCTGAGTCGCCCTTGTGCTCCCAACCCAGGCTTCCCCATGGGCTGTATCGCTGCCTGCAGTTCCGTCTCCTACTCTTCCACTTGGATGGGCACTGCCTCTGATGTTCAGCCCTCAGGCAGTCACCTTCGTGGGTCTTTCCTGCTACCTCTGCCACACAGTTAAATCCCGCAAGGCTGTGTGTCTCCATTTCTAACTTAAAATTACTCATCTGATGTCTGTCTCTGCCACTGGACTGTGAGCTTCTGAGGCCAGGGACTGGGTCAATTTTTGGTGTCTGAATTCCCATCCCTAGCCCAGTGCCAGTCAAAATGCAGCAATGCAACAGCCACTGAGGAACGAACAGAGAGGTCACCAAACCCCTCAGGGCTCAGCCACAGTACCTGGGCTGGATGGGACATGGTCCATGTGGAGCTTCTGACCTTGAGAATGAATGTGCCCTTCCCCTGACAACTTCAGAGCGCAGAGAAATGGGGACCCACTGTCAGATGACGTTCTGACTAATGGCTGCAGAGCAAACCATCCCCAAGCCTGCTGGTGTGAAACAGCAACGCTTTCAGTGTGTTCACAGGCGCTGGGGGTCAGGAGTTCCGGAGGGGCACAGTCCCTCTCCACCATGTCTGGGGCCTCAGCTGGGGTGACTGAGCTATCCGCATGGCCGGAGCTAGAGGATCCACTTCCAAGATGCTGGTGATGGCTGTGGGCTGGGCTCAGAAGGGACTACCACTCAGAGCACCTACATATTGTCTTGAGCATTGCGGTCTCAGGAAAGCAGGATTTCTTAGTGGCTGCCGAGGACTCTAGGGGAGATGAAATGAAGTGGGCCCCATCCAGCATGTTATGACACAGCCTGGGAAATCATATAGTACCATAAGTCCTTGGTGCCTGCTACCTTCCTGCCCTATTCACATCTTCAGTGGGGGTAGTGTCAGAGAGCTTATGGCTGTGTTTTAAAGCCACACTGGAGGGTTTATGCTATTGCAGATTTTTGGAATCAGGCCCAGGGACAGATGGTGAGCCGGGTTACCAAATATGTCTCCCACACAACTTTTAGTATTGGGAAAGCACTTTCAAGTGTGCTAGCTAGAGGAAGAAAGAGGCTCGGAGCTGCACAGGCCTGAGTTCAAATCCCAGTTCTGTCTCTCGGCATCTGTGGGGTCTTCAGCAAGTCACTTAACCTGCCTGAGTCTCAGTTTCCCCACCTGAAAAGTGGAGGCAGTAATACCTCATCAGTGAAGACTAAGTGAGCGAGTAGAGGAGGATCTAATGCATGGCAAGGGGTCAACAGCGCCCCCCTTCTGTGATTAACGCTCTCATATATCAAATGAAAGCAAGAATAATACCTTATAAACTGTCTTCCTGGCTTCTGGCTGTCCATGAACAGGGGTGAATTCAACTTGTGTTCCTTGACTAGTCACTCTGTAAGAATCTGGAGAAACAGAATAACGTGACAGAGTGGCAGGTCCCTGGAGCGCCCACAGCCGGTGGACAGGGGAACGGAGGGAGGCAGCCAGTGGGTGCCTACCCTTTAATGGAGGGTTCCTTAGGTCCAGTATTTGCCAACATGTTTATCAATGATTCAGTTAAAGTCTGGCAGCTTTCTGACTTCGCTGGGAATGATGAAAGATGAGAAAAACCCAGTGAAATGAGAGCCACTGTGAACAAGGCAGAGCTATGGCTTTTAGCCAGCTTCTCATACTACCCAATGCTTCCTCAGTACTGCATGCAGGGCTATTTGTGTACAACTCCACTGAATCGCCTGACAGCTTTACGGGGTATGGATCTGTATCGTCTCCATTATATAGATAGACACGGAGACGCAGAGAAGCCAAGTGGCTTGCCCGGGGCCACACGGTGTGGGAGCTGTCAAAGTGCTATTGTAACCTCTGACTGCAGGAACAGAAGCAGAGTGTCCTAAGCGTGGCCAAGGACACCAGCCTGGTTCTCCTATGAAGTAGTGAGCTGTCAGTTGCTGGAAAGCCTTCCCTGTCACTCTGAGTACCTCATTGGGCTGCAAGCCCTGCTGAAGGCAGACCTGCCTGGGGTGGACTTCTGTATGGGTGTACCACTTCTGGCCAGCCGCTCAGCATTGAGCAGGGGACCCTCGGGGGCTGGGATTAGGCCCGTCTTGGCTGTTCACTAAAAATCACTTTTTGGATCCAGTCAGCCTCTTGTTTGCTAAGGAGGTAAGAATTTTTTTTTAACGAAGACCAAGCATCTTGTACACATTATTCCATCTGAACCTTGTAATAGAGTTAATAATGGTGCATCCCTTATGGGATTATTATAGTTGTGGGAACTGAAGCACAGAGAGATTAAGCAACTTGCCCAAGGCTACACAGCAATTGGTAGAGCTGGGATTTCAACCCAGACATCTGACTTTGCTCACTGCTGTCCTTGTCTTAGGATCTGACAGGGATAGGATTGACCACTGGAGTCTCTGGCCAATGCTGATAATAATGAAAGGTGTTTGATATTTCTTCTTGTGGTTTTGCCTCCCGGATCTTTGGGTTTCCCAGCTGGAAGACTAAGGACACTGCTGACAGGGCCCCTGAACTACTGGTGAGCTTGGGGACCCATCCCAAGTAGGACACAGTTCTGGCTTGCCACATGTTCCTATGTGTCAAGTATTGTGCTGGGCCCTGGAGCACAACCACACACAGGCGCTTGCATGAAGCTCGTGGTCTGGTTGAGGAGAGAGAGGGGAAGAGGCAACTGTAGTGCTGGCTGGTGGCAGTGGGAGGGTAGAGGGGATGCTGGTGCAGGGCCTGCATCCCTTTGCATCTCAGCCTCACAGTCCTCACCACCTGACTTCCTGGGAACTTGCTCTCGGCTGCCTGAGCCCACCGTACCTGAGCTTGTGACAGGCCAGATAATTGATGTCCAGCAGGAATAGCCCAAATGATAACGGTGGGACTGGTGGATTACTACTCTGACTCCTTCCCCTAGGCCTGTGTGCTACACTGAAGCCCCAGGCTCCAGCAGAATTAACCCCCAGTTGCCCACAGTGGTAACTTGCCTGATATAGACCCTTTATTCGCGGCCTTTCTATCTCACTTCTTGCTTCTCTTTCAGTGAATGCTGATATCACCTCCTAAATTAACTGACTGCACTGGAATCTATGTTGCAGCATCTGCCTCTGGGGGAACCCCAATGACTAAGATATGGGACAAACCTGGGGGACTCTGTGAGCCCAGAAGAGGGGTACCTTGCCCAGCTGGAACAGAGATCTAGACAAATTCCTGAAGGAAGAGAAGACCAAGTTGAGAACTCCAGGGTGAGTAGGAGTTAGTCATTTAAAGGGGAGTATGCAGAGAGAGAGGGAGGGATAAGTGTGCAGGCAGAGAGACTGGCATCTGAGGAAGCTCAGAGGCAAGCAAGGGCAGAGGTGTGAGTGAATGGTGGGGAGGTGGTTGCGGCTGCCGTGGAGCAAGGCAGGGGATCATGAGAGATGAGGCAGTGTCCAGACCAGGCAGAGACTTGGAGGCCACAGGGGAGCAATTTGTATTTTGTCCTTACAGCCCTGGAGCAGCTGCAGGATTGTTGACAGGGGGAGTGCATGCTGATGGGGCCACTTAGGCCGGTCAGAGCAGGGAGGCTGTCTGAGGAGGCAGGGCCTGGGTCTGCTCTTCAAGACCCCCAGATGGGCAGGAGGCAGGAAGAGGCCCTGCTGGGAAGATTCCCGGGTCCCTTTCAAGGAACTTCGTCTTGCTGCCCTGTCCCCCATCTCTGGGGGCCCATAAAGCTGGTCACTGTGGTTAATTATAGGCTACATGAGGCCCAGGGCAGGAAGGCCGTGGACGTGTGGGGGGCAGGTGGGGTGCCGGCCTGGCTGTCAGGGAGGGAGGCTGCAGACACCAAGGCCCCCATAAAGTTGCCCAGAACAGGCTGCCTTTACGGGCTTTCTGGGTGGGGGCATGACATCACTGGGAGCAATCAGGGGCCCCTCCAGACCTTTTTTCTTTTCTGGGACCTGTCTCTGTGGTTGTTGAAGTACATTCTCAGTGAAGGGGGTGCCTTCTTTTGGAATGCTTGGACCCAGTGGGTTTCGCAGCCACTGGCTATGCCAGTCCTCTTTCAACCAAAGCCAACCAATGCCTCAGTCCTTCCAAAGCCTCCTGAGAAGACTGAATCGGCTGCCTTGCATTCCTTTCAAGCCATGATATCCAACTTTTTTGAATGAGTCAGTTTCTTTTAAAACACATCCACTTGAGAAATATAATCAACACGGGTTGAGAAACAACAACACAACAAAGGCTATGGAACAGAGCGAATTGGATGTGAGTCCTGGCTCTGTTCCTTACCACCTGTCCTGGTCGGCTCCATACACCTGAGCCTCAGTTGCCCCATCTGTAAAATGGGGATGATACCACCACTTAGCAGGGCTGTTGTGGCTGGGTATTGCAACCATTAGTCAGTAGTTTGGACAAACCCATTCTTCCTCACAGCACTTGATTCTAAGACTTAAAACGCTTTCTCAGGTCTGTCTCCTTCCCACATGACATTTATGGGACAGATGATCTTAAGGAAGACAGAAATGAGGCCCAGACAGGCCGAGGGTCTTATGAAAGCTGCACTGTCTAATTAAGCTCTGTTTGTGGTTCTTTTGTGAAGCATGATCATTTGTTATCTCCAGTTAAAAGAAACTATAAACCAATATAGAGTCCAACTGAAAATTGAGAAAACAAGGGGCAAAAATCCCTTCCCATATGGCTATCAGCCCAGCAGTGCAAGTGCAATGACCTCTTTGTTAACCCGTAGTTTGTACATATGGTCTTGATAATAAACTTGAAATGTGAACACCGCTCTCCCACCTCCTGTGACAGCCTAAAAGCACCTTGCCTGCTACAGCAGCCTTACAGATGATCAGATTAATGGCTACCTGCTATTTTATCAAATTGGTGCTGGGTACTGTTGAATTTCACTTTCAGTTTTTTCCTTGCCTAAATAATGCTTTAACGAACACTTTCTTCTTCCACAGAGTAAGTCTCTTTGTTTGTCTCATTTCCTTAGGATAAATTCCCAGAAGTGGAATCAGTAGGTCTCAGGTTAGGAACATTTTTGTGGTTTGTGATACATATTTTCCAATTCACTTTCCATAAAGGCTGTTCTAATTACTTTGCCTCCAGCAAAGTCTGCCGGTTTAGCAATTTTAGGGCAACCTCACCAGCACTAGGTATTATTGTTTATAATTCTGTTTGCTATGAGATAAAGTGTTATTCCTTTTTATTTTAATTCACTTTTCTTTGATTGCGGATTCAAAGAGGTATATATGATATGTATGAATGGATTTATATTGGTAATATTGGATAAGATGAGTCTTTTGCTACAGAATGCAAGAACACCATTCCTACACACTTGTGAAAGGCAAGTTTCTTCTTTCCCATGCCAGTAATAATTACAATAAACTGGGGCTGCCGCCAAAGTTGAAATAAACAAATGATCATAGCAGACAATAGAAGCGCAGACCTGATTCTGATTAATGAAGTTGCTAATGTGGCTTCCTGGCGTGGATGTCAGCCAAGGGCTTCCCCTGTGACTTGCATTAGGTCTTAGTGACAGAGTAAGTGGTTTAGGGATATAGGAAGTGGCTGGATGCTTGTGGCGCTGAGGAGAGGGTGTGGTTTGGAGGTAGTGGGTGGAATCTGTTTTCTACAGAAAGCAGAGAAGGACTGACCTGGAAGAACTTCACAGGGAGAGGAGTTTACCCCAGGTGCATGGATGGATACAAACAGGGAATATGCGAGGCAAGGCCATGTGGTGATTAGGTTCGCCATCCTAGTTGGAGGCCCATAACTCAGCCCAGAACTGAGCAATCTGGTGGATCTGACAGACAGAGAGATGTGAACAGCCAGACCCACGTTCTAATCTTGCTTCCACCAGCTGAGACTTGCAGAAGCTGTCACTGTGGACTGAGAGATGTCAGAGAACTCAGGTAACGCATCCTGCCCGCTTTGCTTTCCAGCCCCATTTGGCCCTCCCAGGCTGGTGTCCCCACTGTCCTTAAGTGTGCTTGGCTCCATCTCCTTGCTCATGCTCCCAAGTTCCCCTCTTGGACAGGCTTTCTGCCTTCTGGTTTGAAGGCTGACTTGTAGTCCTGCTGCCTCCAGGCTTCTTGGATTGATGTCCTCAGAGGTCCTGTGCACTTGATGGGTGATGAGCAAAACCTGCCTGGGTCCACCCGTCTCGTATCACCCAAGGCATGCTGATTCTCTAACTGTATGCTCCTCACTCAGACTTTAAAGGTGTGGCCTTGATGCGCGTTCATCTTTGCAGTTCGGATCCTTGCTCCGCTTCTGCCAGGAAGCTGGCTTTGACCTCTCCAGTTTGCTAATAACCTGTTCTTTTGCCTTCCTTTGTAGAAACCTTTACTGCTGTTCTCAGTGCCCCAGGCCTGTGATTGTCTGTTTACAGGTTGGTCCTCCCCACCGGAAGCTGCTGGAATCTGCATGCCCCCTCATCTGTCCCCAGCACCCACCAGGGTACATCACAGAGGCTCAAGGAATGTTTGCTGCAAGAGTGAGTGATAAAGAGTCCACCATCTACAAAACACTCTCCCCACATGTTATGTTATTTTGTATGACCACATTGTAAAGGCAGGCTGGTTGAGTACTGCTATATCCATTTCACTGAAGGCAATAAGGAATGACACCAGCAGACACACTGAGCGTCTCAATGTCCCAGGCACAGCGCCCAGCACTTTACAAGCAGTTTCCCTTGTAATCACCTCAACAAAACGAGGAGGTAGGGACCCTCATTATTCACTGGGACGAGGCTGAGGCTTGCCGAGGACAACTCGCTAAGGTCACACTGCTAGGACAGGACAGAGCTGGATTTTAAACCTCATTCTGTGTGTTGCCAAAGCCACCCTACTGCTAGACCAACCTCCTAATGGCATTGCTTTCCCTGTCCCCACCTCTGGACCTTGAGATCTGAAGGAAGGAAGTGTCGTATTTGTCCTTGCATCTCTAGGGCCCAGCAGAGGGCTGGGTACAGGTAGGCACCAATAAATGCTGATGAAATGGACGGATTGGTGAGTGGACAGACAGTTGGACATCTGCCCCAGCTCTGTTGCAAGTGGGGAGTTTCTGCTTTCACGCGATGCAATCAGGAGATGGGAGTTGGGTTTAACTTGGGGCTGATCTTGTACCTGAGTTGTTCTGTCATAAAATAGGAGGGTGTGTCCTCACGGGGACACAGTGAACAACGTGCCTGCCTGCCAGGGCATCAGATATGTGTTGCCAAACACTGAAGGCAAAATGAAATGTCCTAGGAGAGCAAACAGCCACCTCCTTCCTGTGCCAGGCAAGCAGGATCATTTTGCTCCATGTACATGTGTGTTCCTCTCCCTGATGATGGCCTTGGGAGATAATGTGCCCTGCATGTGTCCCAGGGTGGGGAGAGCAGCTGCTGTGACTGTGGGTGGGTGCTCTAGGAAGCCATGTGTCTGAGCTGGGTGGGCTCAGTCCCTTTCTAGGCCGCGAGAGATTGGAGGGAAGCAGGATCCTACGTTCTGGGGCCTGCTGGGGTCAGGGCTTGCCTCTCCTCCCAGCTCTGGGCAGAGCCTCAGTGTCTGCCCAGCAGACTCTGACCCACTGATGTTGGAATTGGAATTAGTCATTCTCTTCTATGCTCTGCACGTTGGGCCCACATGGCTGGACATGGAACTTAGTTCTTGATCTATACCCGAGGTCTAAGTGCAAAACACAGGGCACCAATTTCCACTTATATCTTATCTGGCTTCCTCACCAGGGCCCTCAGCTTTGCTGATGCAACCTTCTTTGGGTTCCAAGGTGGACAGAAACAAATTTGAGAGTAGCTAACATTTATTGAGCATTTGCTCTGTTAAATGAGTTTCTCACATAGGCTGTTGATACCTCAAAGTGGCCAACAGCATGGATATTCGAAGTAGCAAGTCTTGAGTTTTCATTCTGACCCTTCTGCTGGTAACTGTGTGGGGATGAGCAAGTCACTCCACCTGTCTGAGCTCTGTCTCCTTGCCTGCAGAATGTTCGCACTGGTAAGAGTCTGTACCTCACAAGTGGTTGGGGAGTTTCATGGAGACCTTGAATACATGTGCTTTTGCACAAGACCCAGCACACTGGAAAGGTGTGGTGAAGAGAGAGAAAAAGCACTGAGGGGGGCTGTGTGTAGGCCCTGGGGAAGGGGATCAGCTGGGTCCCCACTCTGTGCTGGTGGTGGTTCTGCTTAGAACTGCAGGGCAAGGCAAGACCCTTCCCTGGAAGGACGGTGGTCCAAACTCTGTCCCATGTGGCTGTACCAGAGATACATTTAGGCTTCTCTGAGCAAGAGCTCAGGCCAGGGCCTGGGAGATGGAGCTGCCTGAGGGGAAGGGCTGGTGCTGGGGCAGGCAGAGGAGAAAAGAGACCCTGCAGCCTGGCTTCCTGGGGCTCTAGAGGGTCCCAACACCTGCTTTCCATGCTTAGGTATGAATCCTGCCTGTTCCCAGGCAGGCTCTCTGCAGTTCTCTGGGCTGCTTCCGTAAACCGGGTGACTTGCCACAAAGCAGGTGACACTTAGTTCCTTCCCCACCGGTATTCCAAAGGCCACGGGTGACTCTCATCCTCTCACTGAATGTCCTAGTGAATTTTCTTTTCAAGAAAAATGTTTGTTGAATGAATTAATGAGATGGGAGAATGCTGTGGTTGCCTGGGAAAGAGACTGCTTGAAACAGGCTCATCCACCCCTGTGGGGCAGGGCGTGCAGTCAGTCCCACTGGGTGTGCGCGTGGCCTGTGTGTGTGTGTGTGTGTGTGTGCATGTGGGTGCACGTGGTGGAGGGGAAGAATGGGGCGGCTACACCCCCCCAGCCACCCGCCACCCCCAGAGCCTAAGGTTTCCCAGGCGGGGTCTCAGTCTCTGGCGTTCACCCTCGCGGCTGCCGGGCTGGGGGCTGTCAGTCTGGGGCTGTTTTCCTGGGAGGGGCACCAGTCCTCACTGGGGGATTTGTACCAGCAGCTAAGCAGATAATTGCTTGTCAGATTGATTGAAGGCTTTTCAAAATGTCTTTTCCTTGAAACGTCCCCCATCCCCCCCAATGAGCAGATTATTTGAGTTGGAACCATTTCCCCCTCAGCTTTTCTCCCTCCTTTCTCAAAGTAGTAATTACCACCCCAGTAGCCCTCCACGGCGTTTCCTGTCATTTGGAGGCCGAAGCCAGCGGCTGTTTCCTCCGCAGGGTGAACGACAAGCTGGCCAATTAGGGAAAGCCCACCCCCAGCTGGGCCCCAGGGGCTCCCGCGGGCCTAGCTGCCCCCTGTGGGAATGGTGGGTGGGAAGGAGCCGGATGGCCGAGCAGCTGAGACAGCCCGGCCCTCTTCCAGATCCCGGGGCTCCCCTCATCCTCCGAATCCCTAGTTCCTGTGCGTGTGCGTGCGCGCATGTGGGCGGCTGTGGATGCACACCTGCCAATGTACATGTGCACTTGCGGACATGGGCTCTTTGACCCCAGTGAAGCCTTGTAACCGGGTCTCCAGCAGTGGTTCTTCCCAGGGAGCTCAGCCTCAATCACTTCTTCAGGTCTGAAGAATCTGCAGAGCGTCTGCCATTTTAAGTGGGCTGGTGGCAGGCAGGATGGGCAGCCGTGCGCTAAAGCAAGGACAGGCACTTGCTAATCGCCAACTTCAGGTGGTGTGTTTACCGGTGCTCATGGCACAATTCTCTCCATTTTTTAATATTTCCAGGTATTTCCAAACTGTTCAAAATAAAGTGTGGGTAGAAAGTTTGAAAGGCTGCTCTACCCACCCCTCTCCCACCCAGGATTCATAATGGCCAGTCGCCTTGCACTTTGTTCTGGCGCTGGTCCTCCTCCTGTTTCTCCTCTTTCCCCATCTTTTCCTCCTCCCTCTGGCTTCCCCTTCAGTTACAGAAGCCACAACTGAGCAGGACACAGCCCAAAATGGGATGAACAACTGAAGCTCATGAGTCAAGAGAGTTTGAGTCTATGCCAAGCTCCGCCTCTCTGTGACCTTGGATAAGTGACCTTAATCACTCTATGCCTCGGTTTATCCATGCAAACTGGGGAGTAGGCTGGGACCGCTTTGCTTTGATGATTAAGAGCATGGACTCTGGGATCAGAGGACTTGGTTCAAATCCCAGCCCTGCCAGTTACTAACTGTGTAACTTTGGACAAATGGCTCTTCATGCCATAATTTCTTTATCTGTAAACATGAGGATTTCCTACGTTTAACATTTCCTATGTTAGGGGGCTGAATTAACTGAGTTACTAAATACAGAGAACACAGAACAGTGCCTGACTTCCTGGCCTATGGGAAAGTATAATACATGTGTTTACTATTATTCTTACATACAGAGACAAGGGCCACACGTGATTGTCTCACATGTACACAAGTACCCATGTGTACAGGTATATCTTCAGCTATGTGATGTCTGCATCTATACGTAGGTGTGTTATGGGCATGGGGCACAGGTACTCCAGGGGGAAAGAGGCCCTCCAGTGAGAGGTGCAGTCCTTGGAGGACCCAGAAGCAGTAGGAAGTATTACTTAACAAGAGTCAGTGTACCTTCCCTGCTTGCTAGTCTCCAGTAGCTCCAGAGCCCAAGGTCTCTTACTCATTCATTCATTCATTCATTCAGCCAACAGATGCTTCTAGAGCACCCACTAAGCACCAGGCCCTGTGCACTTGCTGCTGGCCTTGTTTAGCTTGCTCTTCCACACATGTTCCTCTTTGGCCTTCTAGAATCAAGCCCAATGGCAGTTCCTCTGTGAAGCCTTCTTGACTCAGCAGGCCATGTCGGTGGGCTCCAGGTTTTTATGCCCACAGTGAGACCAGTGACTCTCATCTTTTCACCACTGAATAGCACCAGGCACAGCCTCAGCACATTTGTTTTGAATGAATGAATGAATGAGTGAGTTGTCCACATCTTGCTGACCAATTCAACAGAGAGGCTGGGAGCTAGTCCCCCAGATTCTTTATCACTGCTGCTGTCCCTGTGCTATGTGCCACCGGCTCCCTACCAGGAAGGCAGCGGAGGCTGGAGCTGGGCTGCTCGGGAAGAGTTGAAGGAGAGTGGGCGTGGGTTGCATGGACTCACTGCACGGCTGCTGGGGGTGGTGAGCTCCTCAAGGCTGCGAACCGTGTTGGGAAGCAGGGCAGGAAAGTTGTCAGCGTCCTTCAGATAATGGGGACATTCTGACCTTGCTCAGCCCAAGGTCCTTCCCTGGAAGCCCCAGCATGCCTGGCCCTGACACCCTGGGGAGGCCACAGAAGCTGCCTTGACTGTAGCGGCACGGACATCAAGTCCCGCTTTATCTCCTCGAGCCACACGCAAGGTAGTATGGTGGGGACAGAGTGCTTGGGCAGCTTGCAGGAAGCCGGAGGAGTTTCTGTCTCTCTGTGGGTCAGAGGTGGTTGGAATTTGGCAGCCAGGGAAACAAGAACTTCCTGTGGCCACCTCAGAGCTGATATTGGCAACAGGAACCCAGACAGAGCTGGCAGCCCAGAGATGCCAAAGACATGATTTACACAGCCAGTTCCTCCTGCAAGACACATGGTGGGTCTGGATTTCACAGGATATGTGAGCACAGTGTGTGTGCATACACACACGTGTATGCATGTGTACAAGCATGGGTATGGTATATGTGCATGCATACAAGAGTACAGTGTGTGCACACAGATATGTACAGTGTGAGCATGCACACACATATAGATGTGCATTGCATGTCCAGGTGTGAGGCAAGAATGCAGGGTCTGTGTGTCCCTGGATATATCTGTGTCTGTGCCTGAGTCTGGATGTGAGTGCTCTTGGCCTAAGTGTGAAGCAGGAAAACATGGGTGGCCATGTGTGTGCTTACACATACGTCTCTCCTTCCCAATATAATGTGATACTTCTCACTCATGTATATGAGCACAGGCACTCTCTTATTAATAAGATTCCCAGTCCTGCTCAGCACAGATCATTAATCAGCAGTGGGCATTTGAAATGAGTGACAACAGAATTGGTGTTGTAAGTGAGGGGTGAGCAGGCTTCCCCTCTGCCAGGGAGGGGGCCTAGGCCTGGCGGCAAGACCAGGCCCACTGCAGCCCTGTCCCATCTGGTGCCAGAAAGGGGAAGCCTTGGGCAGAATAAGGTACTGCATCAACAGTGGACCCAAGGCCTCTGGGTAGAAAAGGAGGGCCTGACCTTGAATGACCACAGATGTGTGCTCTAAAACCAGGGGCAATGAAAGCAGAGAGGAAGGGCCACGACATGCCTTGTGGGGAAGAGGAATTTGAGCAAAATCTTTGCCTTCACAGCATTTAAGAAAGTTTGTTATTTATTGTTTTTAGGTATCTGTGTGGTATTTTTCAATGTCTGTTCCTAACACTAGACTGGGAGTCGGCAAACTCTGGCTGGTGTGCTGAATGTGGCTTGCTACCTTTTTTTTTGTAAATAAAGTTTTATTGGAATACAGCTGAGTGCATTTGTTTATGTATTTTCTATGGCTGGTTTCATGCCACAGCCTCAGAGTGGAGTAGTGGTGGCATAGACCCTGTGGCCTGTAAAACCCCTAGAATGTTTACTACCTGAGCCTTTATAGAAAAGTTTGCTGACCTATGTATTAGATTATTAATTTCATGAGGTTGGGGATTATAAGCTTGACATATAGTAAATGCTTAATAAATATTAGTTAAATGAATGAATGCCTTGATCACCTTTGGAAGGTCTGTGCAGTTTGTTGGAATTCCAGGCAGAGGGAATAGCATGCACCAAGGCACGGGGCCAAGAAATAGTGCAAGGTGTGCTGGTGATAGGGGAGTTGGTGTGGCTGGAGCACACAGGACACACCCACACACCCACACATAGTGGGGACTGTGGGGGCCCAGAGATGAACGCAGCAGGGAGAGTTTGGGGCTGAGGAGGGCTTCCTTGAGGAGGTGACACTGAGCAGAGTCCTGCAGCTGTTGTGGATAGTTTCAAGAAGATAGAGGAAGGGCATACCAAGTGGAGGGCACAGAAGAGGCAAAGGCCAAAGACCCAAGGGAGGCAGGGTTGGATAGTTGGAGTCAGGGCCCTAGATGTGCACGTGATGGGGGTCCTGGGGCTGACAGGAAGCCAGAGACGTTTTGGGGACCGGATTGGCAGGGCCTGGAAGGTATCCCTTCAGGGCGTCTGCACTTTGTTTTCTGGCCACTGGGGAATCGATGGAGGTGTCAGCAGAGGCTCCAGGGGATAGCCATGCCTGCCTTCCAGGGCTAGGCTGAGGATCACGGGAGATCAGGAACTGGAGTTTGTTCATCCCGGCTGTGCCTGGCACACAGAGTGGTTAATTAGCAGGGTTGTCAGATAAAGTGCAAGAATTGCAGTTAAATCTGAATTTCAGGTAAATTACAAATCGTGTTTCAGTATAAGCATGTCCCAAATATTGCATGGGACATACTTTTACTAACACAAGATTTGTTCTTTTTCAAAAATTCCAGTTTAGCTGGGCCTCTTGTATTTTTATTTGTGAAAACTACTAAGGGATGTTAGTTGAGACTGGGTCCTTGATGGTGGTTTCAGGGCTCAGAAAACCTGCCTGTGAAGCCAGAGACAGGCTGACAAACCATGAGGGGTGGACCGTGGGGCTGAGAAGCAGCACGGAGTCCAATCCTCTTGGCTTATGGGGAAGGAAATGGAGGCTCAGACTGGGGAACGGGTTGGCTCAAGGCCATCCAGCCGGAGGCAGCCCTGACATTCTGCTTTTTTCTGTGGTTGGTCAAGAGAGAGCTTTGGCTCTTGGGAGACTTCCCAAGACAGCCCAGTGACAGGTGCAAGACCTGTCAAACAGCCAGGGAGCTCTGAGTGGGGTTTCTGGATTCTTCAGCGCCATCCTTATCTTGGCAGTAGATGCAGCGTGTGATGTTTGCCACATCCCTTACCCCATCCGTGCCTCAATGCATACAGCTGTAAAATGGGGCTAATTATACCCACTTCACAGGTGAGTTGTAAGGATTAATTAATGTTTGTAAAGGCTTTGTGATCCTTGGATGAAAGACGCTCCTTACATATAAAGGGTCATTATTTTTATTATTATGACACGAGTGCCAAGTATTGTTACCTTAATTAGCCTTTCTAGATATCAAAGGCAATTAGACTGATTACTTGAACTCCATTTTGGAAACCCAAGTCAAAGAAACACTCATACTGGTCTGTCAGCTGGCGTTTTGGTGAGGGGCCTGCACAAATCCGGAAGGGAGGGCTGGGATTTGCAAAAGAAATTTGTTTATTGCTCTGGCCAAGTTTCATCCATAGAGAAATTTTTCTGGAATTTAAAATTCCCTGAAAACAGAGTTTTTTCAGTGAAAATGCTGATATAGGGAGCTTTAGGGGGAAAGAAAGCTTAGCTTAGTGGCCCAGGCAGCCTGGGCTGGTAGTAGAAATGTGTTGTTTTCTATTCTGCTCCTAGAGGCACACGCCCCAGTCTCCGGGCCGGTCCTGGTAAGGGGAAGGCAACCCACTACTTGATGGGGGCCTTCTGTGTGTCAGGCCTTAACCTAATGTGGGCATATCTTTGAGAACAATCCCATGCAGTAGGTAGAAACTTTTTGATCCTCAGATGAGGATACTGTGGCTCAGAGAGGTTACGTGACCTGGGAAGGTCACACAGCTGGGAAGTACAACAAGGATGGAAGCTCAGGTCTTGCTGATTCCTTAGCCTACATCTAGGTTTAGTATAGTCTCCCCTTGTGTCACCTGCTGTCTATCTGGCTTGGATCTGGACCTGTCCATAAGCTGACAAGAGATTTGTTTGCTGAGGGAGTGGATAGGACCATATAGGACTGAGTGGGTCACTGCAGTGCTGTGGACCTACAGCCCCAAGCCTGGTCCATCGTGGCTTTGCCTGTTCAATCTTTAGAGCTGGTTCAGAATCTCAGGACTCAGGCAGAGGAGGAGCCTGTGGCCTGGATGTGCCC